CAGTGTAAGCTCGGGCAGGTTGGACTGAACCCACTCGAATCATATAATCTGATCGACCCCCACCCCCACCCCCACCCAAACTCCCGAAATGTCACCATTCTAAGTATCTATATTCCTTTGGGGGAGGCGTCTTCCCAATAAATCATGTAGTTGTATCATACACCTACCTTCTCTGTGTGTTTGCCAGCTGCTTCCACCCGCATTCCTGTTCCCCTTACCCAGGAATTTTTGTCCACATAGCCATGCTATTTCTCTCTCTCCCTCTTAAAATAGCAAGCGATGCACGCTGGAATTAGGAGTGCCAAATGGTATAAAGGCTCTGTTGACAATGGTAAGTTTGGAGGTTCGAGGCCACCCACGGGCACTTCAGAAGAAAGGCCTGCTACTGAAAGCTCAGGAGCAGTCTACACGGACACTGGAGGAGGCAGGAGGCAGAATCAACCCGACAGCAGGTTTTGGTTGTGCCTTTGTTTCCTCTCTTCCCATTAAGTTGTCTAATTGAAGGAACCCTGCTGGCACCGTGGGCTGCTAAACTCAAGGCCAGCAGTTTAAAAGCCTCAGCTGCTCCTCCGGAGAAGGACGGGCTTTTGACTGGAGGAGAGTTAGTCTTGGAAACTCACAGGGGCAGTTCGACCCTGTCCTAGAGAGTGGCTATGCGCAGGCATCAACTCGATGGCAGGGAGTTTGGTTTTGTACAACTGAAACCGACTTCTCAGTTTAAGAGGGCGAGATTCAGACTGCAGCAACCTGCTGTTTCTTTCAGCGTTTAGGTGGGAAATGGGCAGTCTTCAAATTTCTCCACATATTCTGAACCCAACTTTACCTGACACATTTCATTCCTGCACGTCTGACTATTCTGGGTTACAAGCTTCTTAGCAGCCTGACAATGACAAGCGCCGCTACCATTACAACAACAAACCCTCCATAGGGCTTTTGAGACTAAGTCTCACCGCTGTCCTGTTGATTCGGACTAATAGCAGCCCTAAGACAGAATAGAATTGCCCCTGTGGGTTTCCAAAGCTGTAACTCTTTATGGTAATAGAAAGCCTTGTCTTTCTCTGAAAGAGCAGCTGATGGTTTTGAACTGGGGACCTTGTGGTTAGCAGCCCAGCACATATACTACCCCACCAGGCAGCAGCATCCTCCCCTCCCCCTGTGGAGTGGCTTGTGTGTTTGGACTACTGATCTTGCTGTTAGCAGTTCAAGGCCTAACCCACATCAGTACAAGGGCTCCTTTCGGCTACCTGAGACTTAGAGAAATCAATTGGTCCTTACTGAGAATAAACTCATTTTTCATTGGGTGGCATTTGAGTTCAGGTCTTCAGTTGTTAACATGCCAAATAAGATATGGCCTTTGAGGAAAATAGTGTCAAATAAGATATGGCCTTTGAGGAAAATAGTGTCTCATTTTGTTATGTAAATAATGACCTTAAAACCCTTTCTGTGTCCCTTCAGCTTTCCTATCCCCACTGGAGGCAAGTGGCTTCTCGACCTGGCTGGTGCCAATTCAGAAACTCCATGTCTCAAGTTAGAAACAGACCAGAAACTAAGTTGAAGGCACAGTTCAAAATGATAAGACGTTGATATTTATTTTTCGAACGCACCTTCCAAATTTAAAGTTTTTTGCTTCTATTATAAAAGAGGAAAAACTAGCATTTACAAAAATGCTTAAGTCAGCTTTGTGGTATGGGTTATTGTGAATGATTGAAAACATCAGGCATGTTCTAGCGATACTAGGTATGGGGCAAACATCCGTGGAGACTGTCTCAAAAGGCTTGGAGTCTTACACTCCCCCCTATTGAGTCCTTTATTTATTGATTTGGCAAGTGACATCTCTGAGCCTTAGTTTGTAAATCGGCAAAGTAGGGTTAACATAATCACACTGCCTTATTACGTTGGGAAGAGGTTATAACAAGAATAAAAGGAGACAATAAATCAAAAAGAGCATTAAATGCTGTAGTTTGCTGGACAAATCTCAAGGTCAAAAGCCACACAGTAGACATGGTAGGTTAGGGAACCCACAGAGGGCTTATGAGTGATAGTAATTGCCCCTCTAGTTGGTTCTATTCGCTCTTAGTATCAGAAAGAGATCAAACATTTCCTCCAGCTTCAAATTTCGAGTAACTCATGTAACTAAAAGATGACCGGCGGAGGCAATGTAAGGGGACTGTAATACTATAGTTGGCTTTTAGAAGTTTTCAGGACCACCTATTGGTCCTGAAATTTTGAAATAGGG